ACAAGTTATAAGCAGTGTAACTGAGCATTCATAGCCCTACCCTCATATTAAGTAGAACATTTGTAAACCATTGGAGAGGCCAACATAAGCTCCTTTTTAAATTAATTTGATGTTTCATAGTAAGTTTTCCACTCAGTTTATGTTAACCTCATGTATAGTACCAATGTCCAGAATCAGCAGAGTACATAAATAGGTGCATCATTTTAAGCATAAACACACCCCAAAAATTACCATGTGCTCAAACCTAAATGCTTTCTTTGAGCAAGGCTGTTTTATTAGTCATTTCATCCCCTACTCAAACACCAGAAGCTCTTTCAGAAACCTTTTTGTCTCTAAATAGCTAGACTTCCCTTAGAGCACTGTGGGTGGGTTTCTCATTTAAAAAACAACCAAAAAACAAATTTTCACTTTCAGTTAGGTTTTAAATTTTCACCCAGAATAATGCATGCAGGTCACAGACAACTCCTTTCCCACAAGGAAGAAGCTTTAGCAAAGAGGATGGCCAGGAAAGGTTGTATGAACCATGCTGGGAGAGAGTCTGTGCCCAAAGTCCCCAAAACAAAGCAAGGATCTAACCAGATGGACCGAAAATGTCAGACCTGTTCACAAGAGTGCAGCACACTAGATTTTGGGATGCCTCAGAACTGCTGCGCATGTGCAGATGAACAATACTGCATGTATGTCTTATGATGCTGCAAGAGAGCATCTTTCTAAGAGGTTACACAACAGGCATCACACTATGAAAACTGAACTCTTCTGATGAGCTTTTTGATAAGGCGCCATGGTGATTAGTAAGAAGTAATGTTCCAGCTGAGATCCCAAGGTATGTTATATATGGAAAGGACCGGAACACAGCTCAGGGATTTAGGGTTTGGCTTAGAGAAAGAATTCAAAGTTACCCAGTAACATCATCTAATTTTCTATTTTGTTCAAATTGTCTTGCTCTACTTTTTCCAGTTAGAGCTGTAAATCATGCTTTTCAAAGTAATCAAATTTGCATTTTAATTTCAAGTTTTACCTTTGCAGCTTTCATTTCTTAGGGAAGAAACTACATTAATAAAAGGGAAGTAACATACCTTATTGCAGGTGTATGACCACACTCAAGATCTGAGCTTGCTTGAATCTTGACAACTTCAGACACCAAAGAACAAAGAAATTCACAAAAAAACCTCCAGAGCTTTTTTGTAAAAAATATTTCAAATTGCTTTTTTTGGTATATCACAGACTTTGGGCCCTTTGTATTGAAACTTAGAAGCTAGGAATTAAATGCCTGATTTGCAGTAGACTTGTAAATGCATGTGGAAGCCAAACCTTTAGGATAAAACACAGCATAACATTACTGTCCTGTGCACCTGACTAACTTCACTCATTTGAATGGGTTGGTAAGTGTGGGGATTCAGTCCAAGACTGAAAAACAAGCTCAACGGCTTTCAAGCATTTTTTCCTACCTCCCCCCAAATGAGATTTTTCCAAAAAAGTCAAAATACCACCCCCAAAACAGGCAGACAAAGAATCTGTCGAAGGGTCATAGTGCTGCCCTAGATAATCTTAAAATATTGAAGAAAATTAGGCACATGTGCTGCAAACACACTAGTTTCATGACACACAGGAGACCAGCACTGACAGTAAATCTGAGAAAAGTATTAATCCATTGTAATGGATATTGTACTCAAGTTTGCAAAATGAATTTAATGAAAAAACAGGGTCTAGCACACAACAGAGTAAGGATGTCTGTCCATGGACACCTGAAAACTCAACACTAGTATTGCCAAGAAAATCTGAGCTTTAGCAAACTGGTAAAGTCTGTTCTGTAAAGGCCCTACAAGTTCTTTCAGAGTAATATTATTGTTATAAAACTCACCTTTAACCCTGATAGGCAAAAGCTGGAGGGAAGTGCCCCTAGCCATGGCTCCAAACTTGCACCTTTAAGCACAAACACCTGCGTGCCCATCGGCCTCCTGTAATGGCAGTGGGGGCTGCTGCAGCGCCCACAGAGCCTGAGAGCGCAGGGGGCTGAGGAGCGCCCACTCCCATCTACCTGTTCTTACAACTATTTGGTGTCTTGGCAGGTTTTGCTGGTTCTGAATCCTACAACGAGACCTGAAAAGAAATCTGCTACACCCTACCGCCGTTGGGACCAGGCCTGCCAGACGCGGGCCATGGCGGGGAAGCCCTCACAGAACGGAACACTTCCCAGGGCAGAGCTTCAGAGAAACCGCTCCAAATACATTATTTCCATGAAGAAAAAAAAGCCCCCAAACCGAGTAGCACTGTGAAACACGTACATTTTTCGGGCCATTTATTCGGAGGAAATTAAGTGATGAGCGCGGCAGCGGCACCGCACCACACCCCACACCCCCCTGCACCGCACCACCTCCCCAGGGCTCCCACCCCAGATGCGCCCCTCACCCGGCGCAGAGGGGAAGCCCAGAAATCCCCGCAGGGCGGGTGCGAGGAAGCGCTGTGGCGAGGAGGCGGGAAGACGGAGCGGAAGATGAGGTGGCCCGGGCCGGGCCGTGGGGGCAGCAGCGGGAGCCGGAGGGCGGGAGTGCTGCAGCCGCGACAGAACCCAGCGCCGAATAGCACCAAAAAGCATAACCTGCGGCTTTGCGAAAATAGAGGGTGATTGCGCCCATCTGCTTGGACCCTGCTGCACGTCAGGGGTTGGTTTTGGTTCGTTACCAGTTTGTCTATTTATTTATTCATTGATTTATCATGCCAGAGTGAAAAAATCTTCAGCGCTATTGTGTGAAGAACTAAAGCACCTTACAAAGCGTGAGCCTGAGGTAACCTTTGTACAACTAGGTGCCAAGACACGGACTGAGGGGGACAGGCTTTGCCCTCCTCCCTCCCTCCCACGCTACTCGGGGTAGCATGCCAGGAGGAAGGCCTCAGAGGTGTCATGGAGGAAAAGGAGGAAACTACTTTGGGGTTGTCTTTTTTTTTCCCCACAAGCCTTTTGTGAAATCCATGTTGTCACACTCAGATGCACCATGGCTTTAGATCCTAGAGCAGTGTCTCTTGTACACCCCGTTAATGCCATAATCCTCTGGAGCTCACTGAAGCTGCTTTTTTTTTTTTTTGTTTGTTACAGAGACCAAGATGTTGCATGAAGCTAAACATTCAACCGCAAAAGGACTTTCAAAAAGCCTCCTACTCACTCTTGGTTTATTCTAGACTTCAGCACAACTGCTTTTAGCATCTCCAAACCACACAGCCACCTGTTCAAACAGACACTAGATTTTCAGGTTCTTAAAAAAAAGAAAAAAAAAAGTTAAAAAAATCAATTATAAGTGGTAATAAGCATCACTTCCTTTAAAATCAGCAGGTTTCACCATGCACCTTTTGGTGTCGCAGTTTGAAAAAGTAGTGACAGTCATTGGAGAATTTATTTCTATGCAATTCGCATCCAACACATCATATACAAGGGTATTCTCCTCACAAAAAGATATTAAAAGTCATCCTAAAGATAATTAATTTGTATCACCTTGCAAGATCTTATAAAGAAAATAGGAACACAAAGGTAAATTTGCTATAAAACACAATTCACTTGAACTATAAACACTTAACACTGCTGCTCAGTTCTGAAGAATAATTAAGTGGGTTTAAGTACACAAATCACAACTCATTTCTTCAAAAAAGAACTTGTGGTTAGACTGCCAGAAGTGCTTTCACAAACACTGCAATAAATAGCAGCTTTTTTGAAACTACTCAGCTCTTGCTTAACAACTCCCTCTTCTAAGGCTATCAGCTGCTTTTTACTTGTTTTAACAGCTTTTATTTTTGATCCTCTTTGAATGACAAAACATTTTCTTTCCTTCTGGCTCAAGCCTCATCAGAATTAACTAAATTTGAAGACAGTGCAAGTTCTGTCAATTAAAAATAGAAATCTAGTGGAATAATGCTGTCAAAGTGTAACAGAAAGCACTGTCACCCTGGAAAGCTAATGAATGTGGGGGTACAGGAAGACTTCACCCAAAATTGTCATGTGAGACTGGAGGATTTCAGATGGCCTATGCCTCTTCCTTCCTTATTTTTGGAAATAGCATGAGCACATCAAGTCAGCATGCCACTTCTGTGTCTATCAACAGAGGAAAACCTGTTCATGACTCAACTTGCTTATTAACAAATTAACCAAAATGTTGCTTAATAAAAATAATAAAAATAAATGCATTAGAACAAAATTGTTTGAGGTATTAATCTCACCTTCCTGTATTTTCTGAAAGAAAAGAAAAAGAAGTGCTTCAGACATAAAAAAAAAAAAAAAGCAGGGTATTCTTGCACATTTTAGGGATTCTTTCCAACTGAACATAATGGTATTTGATATCTATTTTCTCCCTACCAGTGACTGGTATGTGAAAGTGTAGCCATTCATATATGTATTTGTTTAGTTGTACTGCAAGTCAAAGTTTTACCCAAAGGAGTTTTAACTGGAAAAATATTTAAAAGGGCCCAAGTTGCAGGAAAACAACACATTTTCAAATGTGGCTCTGTGTGTAAACAGTTGGTCTGCAAAACAGCAAATGCCATTCATCAGCGAGTTGGACCAAATGAGACTCTTGAAAAATCACCCTGTGATTACATTTCTTGACTGAACATTTCAGCCATTCATGTATTTGGAAACATTCCAAATGTTATAATTTTCCTCTTACAAGCACCAGATAGGAAAGACAAAGTTTTTATTTTAAATATAATCAGCTTTAAAAACAAACAGTAACTTCAACATAATCAAACACAAAGCACTTTCACACAAAGCAAGTTATATCCTGCATTTGTCTCTCCAAAGTAAGTTTAACAAAGCAAGTTACTTTGGCACATTCTGCAGATAATTCCATACGCAAGAGAAAAAACACAAGCTTTGTATTTAAGGAAATTTAAGTATAGAAGGGGCAGCAGCAAGTTTTGCAGAATGCTTAATTAGATGCAATAGCTGCAAACGTTATGTGTCCTGTTCTCAATTTGTAAGGGGAATTTAAAGAGATGCAATGGACTGTGCCCATAAAACAAAACAAAGAAAACTCCACATAATAATTTTTTTGGTCAGTGTTGTTCGGCACTCTGGTGCCATCACCTCAGATTTTCCAACTATCACTTTGTAGAAAAAGGGGAGCTAAGGGAGTAAAAATTTGAAGACTTACTCACCAAATGAATATCTGTCAGGATTATCCAGACCAGACTGACACGGGTACTAAAAGAACTAAAAATCCTCCTGACCATGCAAGCAAACATCAAGTTTGGAAACACTGCATGTTTCATTGCTTCTTCCTGTCTTGCTCTGATGATAAGCTGACAAGAAGTAAATTTCCTGTGAAATCCAGCGGGGAGGAAATACTGCTTTACATTAACACATGTAACTTGTGTAAGTTGGAATCAGTGCCTGTGTCATCAGAACACAAAATTCAATGGAGTATCACCCAAGCCCTTAAAGAACATTGAAAGCACTATGGTAGTGCAGCAGCAGACAAAAAACACAAGGTAGTATTGCATCATCAAAGTGGAAAGGTACAAAACTACCAGCTTTTTACCTCTTGCCAGTTAGTAGCTGCTGATGTAAATTCTTATGTTACAGGGAGACATGATCAGAAACCTTTTCCAAATGCAAAAGGAAGCTCTTAAGCCACTTGCAGACTGACACACAAGCAGCAACAGTTTACAAAACGAATTAACACAAGGCCTAGAAGCTGTTTTTGTGATCCACTAAACTCCTGGATTTCAAATGTTAACTGTTGAAAGACTTTTGAAAAGTTAACTTACACCAAATATTTATAGAAGGCACATTTGGCAAGAACAGTAAATGCAGTATTTTTTATTTGTATTTATTTTAGCTTTTTACTTTTACAGAGATTAATACAGCATTAGCATCGTAGCCTTGTTCAAACACCTGTCTGCCTTCTCTAGACAGGTACCATTCAAACACATCAAGATGTTATTTGGCTGCTTATGACATGGTAAAATACTTCAACCTTCAATGCCTCATTCCCTAATTTTTTGTGATCGTCATCTTAAGTAAGCATATCCAGCTTAAGTTTCTGAAAACAAAACATCTCCTTCATTTAGAAGAATCAGAGTACAAGTCTAAATAATAATCAGAGAAACTCCTTAACAAACATGTTACCTTCTTAATGGAGAAACAGTAATTAACAAACAGATCAACAATTAAAAGCACAGGTCCTGTATCTGTGTTTTGCAGGTGGAATTCAAGCCTTGAGATAAGGCTGAGGTCTGTTTATGATGCACCAGTTGACTTAAGTAAACGTAAAAGGAAGTTTTCCAATGCTATAACCAAGGCCCTACGGACATTTTCACTGGGGTGGAGAGAAGAGAACATTTCACAGATCAGCAGTAAAAAAAAAAAAAAACGAACCAAACAAAAAACACTGAAAAAATATCTATTAAAAATTCCTGTATGAACATCTTTACTGCAGAGTAGAGATATGACTAGACTTAAAACTGGCAAGGAAATTCAGGTACTAGATTGAATCACCATTGATGCACAATAACCCAAGTTGTCCATTTGGTAAAGCAGCCTCCAAGAAGGAAGAAGCCTTTAGGTTTGGTTCTCTTTCAACTAAGAAAGTTTTAAAGTGAATTTTAGTGCTCATGAGAAAATCACTTCTTTTGTCAAGGAAGGGCACCTGTCTCAGAAGCAAGCAACTCCCTGCCATTTTGTAAACAGTGCTGTTGCAAAAGCATCAACACCAACTATGAGACCATATAGGTCTCCACAGACGTTCTCCTCTTGGTCTGTGCTGGGACCGTAAGCATGCACACAAGCATGCAACATGATCAAGACAAGACTAACTGAAGAACATCGCCAACCTGTTTTCCATAAAGCAGAAAAAGAAACCATTAACTGGTTCTGGACTGAGTGGCCCATAAACATTACATATACTTTTTACAGACCTAAGTCAGAATGCCCTCAAGCGAATTCTTATTCAAACAGTCTAGCAATAAACATTACTTGTGATTGGTTTCCAGTGATGCACAGAAACAACCAGAAGTCTCCATGAAGCTTCAGAAAGGGCTTGTAGAGGCGCTAACCAACTTCATCAATCAATTATCAATGTTTAAACACTGCCTATAAACGTTTGTAAGAACCAACAAGAGCGTTGCAGTTCGGACAGGTGTGATCCACATCCTTTAGGGCATCAATGCAGAAGGGAATTAAGCAGCGCCAGCTATACACCTGCAAAGAAAAAAAAAAAAACAATTTGACAATTTGTTTTATCGCTTATTACGTGCAGAAGAAGTCAAGATATACTTCCTGCAAAAGCCATCAGTAAAACTGGTGCCATGAAGCTTTGGGAAGAACATACATGGCTATGGAGTCCATCACTGTAGCGTTTTAGAGATGCTTTAAAGTCCTACATGACTTAAATGCAGATGTGGGCTATCGAAACCATAAAGGGTCAGGTCCCAGACAGAGTAAGAAAGCAACAAAGCTGAGAGCTTTGTTACTCCTTAGAGCTATATAAGGTCATGTAAGAAGAGAAAAATAAAGTGCAAATTGAAATCAACCTACCCCAGCAGGCAGAGGCCACCACATGACAGCCAAGTCAAAGCTCCTGAGTCATACGAGAGACGTGTCACTATCATCTGGTTACAGGAAGGGCAGCACATCTGAACTGGGCGGTCATAAAATACTACCGGTTGCTGCACATACACTGTCTGAACTGTAACTGAGCAGAGAAACATACTGTTTACTCAGTGGGTAAATAAGGAAAAAAGGATAGTTAAACAACTTCCCCTGAGCTAGAACCAGCTACTTCTCTGAAATATTTGAGGCTCAGAGCAGTGAAGTGCACAATGACAAAGAGAAATCACCATGGCATTTCCTAATGCAGAAACACACAGCCTTAAGAATTACATCTGCATTAAAAACAGCAGAAAGCTAAATGATGTTATTGATACCAGTGCACACTGAAGGATTCACAAGAATTGATTCACCTTATTCCCTTCAAAAATATTTTTGGAAGGTGGGGAACACCTGTGAACCCTGGTCTTTAATTTTCTGCACAGCACCAATTACATAGCCACTTGACACCTCCTTAACATGAGGTACAGTAGAGTTTTTTCAGGCTTACCGGGGTTATTTGCTGGTACAGGCTGCCCCATGTATGGGGGGGGGTTCATTCCCTTCCCATCTGGTTTCTGGCCAGGCGCTGGGACAGGATAGGGGTGAGGATAGCTCACATTGATTCCTGTTGTTTCTGCATAGGAAGGTGGTGCAGATGGGACAGGGACACCACTCGGAGCAGACATTGTATCTAGAACATAATAGAGAGAAAATTATAATGAAAGCCATTATTTATTGAGGGCAAGTGACAGCTAATTAGGCTCTAATTAGAGTGAAAGCAAGAAGATAACTAGATTAAAATGCACCTTTACCAGCATAAAATTTATTGTTGTTTCTGACAGTATTAAATGTTAATCTTGATTTCATTGTTGTTGCTTCTTCACTCTTCCTTTTCACAAGATAGTTTTACCACCACCAATTCTTTCTTTACAAATTAAAAATTCTAAAACAGGGACATGTGACATCTTTATTAGTGTACTAACCTATCTGGCAGTTTCTCCCAATTCTCCAAAAACACTATTTCAGATCCACCCCCCAATTCTGCTGGAAAAAAATCAAACAGTATGACAGGCCACATGGTAGCTGCTAATTAACATGAGTCTGGTTTGTGGTGAAGCTCAAATATTTAAAGATTACTATCTCTGTGGGGTATGCAAGAAATGCAGAAGCCGAGTGGGCAGTAACCGCAAGGCCAAGAAGAGGAGGAGCAAGAGGGCATCACCGTGACCACACAGTGATTGGCAGGACTGGAATGTGGCCTTGCTATAAAACTTAGAGCTCGAAATTAAACTGCGTCACTTGGAGCATCCATACTGTGTATGCTGTGTTTCCTTGACCCGCAGACGGCAGGGTGTCTGCATGATCCTTTGGGTAACCTTAAAGTTGATACAAGAACCAACATCTCTGCTGCAGTTTGCAATAAAAAAAATATTTATATTGAAGGAAAAAGAAACCTCAAACAATTAAGTACATCCAACTCAACTCAAAGCTCAAATATGTCTAAAGTTGCTGGTTTTGCTGTTTACCAAAGTTTCAATGAGTTTGTTAATGTGACTTTCCTCCACCAATTGTTTTCATTACAGAGTATAAGAATGCTAAATATTGCCTTTTCCCAGAGTGGAAAGAAATGACTGTGAGTTCAACACAGACTTCCTCTCTTTCTCCCTGCCTCCCCATTTCCTATACCCTGCCCACCAACTTCTTTACTGAACAATCTCTCATGGCAGCAATGCTGATTAAGCATCTCCCTTTTTCTCTTCCTCCTAAGGACTATCAGACAGGTCCGAGAACCACACTCCATTCCCCATTGTTGCACCTTCGATCCCTCTGTATACATGCAAGTCTTTTCACTCAGTACTATCTGGGAAGGGCAACCTGTATTTGGACTATTAATTCTATCTTTTTATAGTAATATAGAAGCTATAATTAACCGTAACACTAGTATGAATAAAAGGAATAAAAGAAATTGCACTGATGAGGAGGAAAAAAAAAAAAAAGTATGTTAAATAAAAATACCCATAACAATACAGCATTATTTTCAAAGCTTGTTGCTTTGAAAACAACAGCTTTTTGGATATATACAGTGTCTTGTGGTACAAGACACCAGGCATTCTAAGCTCAAAAATTCTCCCCGTTGTTCATATCACATATTGGGACACCACTGCATTGCATGGTAATAACAGGACCTAAACACACACAACTTGGCTGACGTGTAGTCACATGCTTCAGAAAAAATATCTGCAAGGTTCACAGCCCAACTTCCTTTTCTACCTTGTACAAAAATGACACCTCCTCCGAAAAACAAGCCAAAAAGGAAAGTGGTTAAGTGCAGACACAAGCTGATTAAAAGCTGGACATTAAAGATCAAAGTTCAGACCTGGTTAAACCCTCAAGGCCAACCAGTGAACAACCTTTTCCTCAGAAGCTCGGCTGTGGATTTTTACAACCTAGGAAGTACGCTGTAACTTGGCTGCCCAGTATGCAGAGTCACTACGCAGAAGGACAAGGAAAAGAAGAGTGAAGAATGAAAGAGAATAACATTGTCCATGACGACCTTGCCAGAAGACAAGATGGGTAGGAGCAGAAATCTCAGTATAAAACCTGGCTAATCCTTAAATTGTTAAATTGCCTTTGGGGAATTTAGTTCCTGAGAAAATGGAAGATCACAATTTCTTTCACACTGAAATAAATACATAGTCACAGCAGACAGTGAAGGAACAACAGTCAGTGGAAAACCAATCTACAACTGTTGTGCAATGATCTACTGCACAATAGTTTCCCATACAGTGGCCTGAATAATCCTTTTACTTTTGAGCTAGAATGATTACTTTATCAGAGAATCTATTATTTCAAAGTGGGGATAACAGTTGCGAAACTATGCATCTACAACCACCTCCTCCCAGATTACGTCATTCCATTCTGTTTACGTGCGTGGATGAAGTCCACAACTTATTTGCTGTTTTCAGTGTATTGTAATACTTAAAAAGCACTGGTTTAACAATGAACTGCATTAAAAAGATTTATCCCAGGAAAGAATGTAGCCATTTTGGGCACAGATCTGGAAATTTCCCACTGTGCATTCTGAAAAAGGATCTTCTTGTTACCATTTCAAGTCATTTGTCGAACAGCCACCCTGAGGTCAAAGCATGCTGGACTTCTAAATTAATACATGGAGTCCTACTGTTAGCGAGCTATGAAGGAACTGCCTAACTAACCTCTTTTTTCCTTTTGTCTCTTAAAATCTGGCTTTTTATACCGTTTAAAATATACCTCTTTCCACCTATCACCTGATAAATATATCACATTCTTTATTCAAAAGAACCAATCACTTCAGCAGCTAGACTGCAGAGAAGGATCCAGCAGATCTACCAGATCACAAGCTGAATATAAGCTGACAGTGCCATGAAAATGGCAAACACCATGCAGGGATGTGTAAGCAAAACCCGTGTCTGTATGACAGCTGAAAAAGTTCTGCTGCTGTGGGGAAAGGCCCCATGGGAGTACGGTATCACATCAAAAATAAAATTTAAAAAAATAAATAAAAAAAGAGAAACAAATAGGTAAACAGATTCCAAAGAAAAGCACCAAGAACTATCATAAAGGCTAGAAAAGAGGACTTCTGAGAAAAATCCAAAGAAACTGAGTTCCCTTAGTTTCAAAAGACCAGAGAGAACAACAAAGACAGACAGGTAACAATGAAGAAGAAATAAACAAACTCCTCTGAGAGTGAACTTTAAGGAAAACCACAAGAAAAACTTCAGAATAACAAGCTTTTCCCTATGTCTTATTATTAAGACTATTTAAGCACTAGATAATTGGCAAGAGATTTGTAGAGCCTTCCCTTCTGAAAGTTTTTAAAACACACGTCAGAAATTATATGTCATTCAGCATTAAGTGGATTAGAGAATCTCGTCACATTCCTTCCAACTGTATTTTCCATTATTTCAACACTTGCTTTTGAAAATAAATGCAACAGCTTTTAATTTTAAACACCTACTTTTATGTCCGCTGTTTCAGAAGTCAGATGCTACATCTTTTGAAGAAAGTAAGGCCCAATCTTGAACAAGTTGCTTGCAAACCAACCCCCCCGCATCCAGAGCTCATTGCAAGACTGGGTCTAGAACGAACTGAAAACCAGCTTCCTCTACTTAAAAAAACCCCAAACCAAAAACTAAAACAAACAAAAAAACCCCAAACCAACCATGATTATAAAGAGTTTCCATGTATCAAGCTTCAGATCGTAACTGCAGTAAATTGATATGCCAATAAGCATTAACTCAAGGAGTAGATAGTAATGAAAACAAAGTTGAGAGGAATATTCTAGAAAGGATTGTCAGCATTTTGTTTTAGCTTAGGCATGACTTACTGGGTTAGTAAATAAACTGTGTGTTATACTTGCCTATGCAATCTCTTATGGTATTAATAGACTTCCCATAGTTTCCATTTGCACTTTGCTCCCTGCAAATAGGTACAGCACAGCTTATAACTTCAATCATAGTATGCTTTACAGACACATTCTTAGCTAAAATACCACTGATACAGACATATCCGGGAAGAGCAACTGAAGCATAATGCCTGATTACAAAGAGGATAAAAGATTAATATTACAAACCAACCCCACAACATATCACACAGTGATTCAGAATCTTAAACATCCATATAGGATAGAGAAGACTTGA